AGTCCTTGTGGAGGTTCAGAAGAAGAAAGACTTACCTTTGTCAGCAGTCCCAGGAAAGGCTTCATGGAAAAGGTTGCACTTCATTTGGATCTTAAAGATCAGGAATGGTGTCCTTGGGGTTGATTCTGCAGAGTGCGAATCAAAGTGGAGATGTGGGAGCTGCGAGGCGTGCGTGACTGGGAAGGGCCTTTACCTGATATGTGGTAGAGGAACGAGGGTCCCTGAGGAGTGGCAGATCGCTCCGGGGGGAGCGTGGGTGTGGGTGAGGACTGGTTGGGGGGAGGGTTATGCCTGTCTCTTTCTCATGCTAATTGTGACTAAAATGTGTGCATGTTTGTAACTCAGTAACTGAGGAGAGAGGAAGGTTAGAAGTGCCCACTGGGGGTCACCCCTCACATGGAACACTTCTTAACACTGGGCAAGCAACCACACCATGACTTTGCCTTCAGAAGAGTGAATGTGCAAAGGCTGTAAAGGGATTCACTCTCTACTTTGTTGAAATGCGGTGTTTGTCCACTATAATTGCGGTCTGGTTTGATTTGCAGTTTTAAATAATTTTAGCACAAACTTGGCCATGCTTGCAGACAAGAACTCTGGGTCGCTTGCAAGGGTTCTAAGTAGGGTGGTGCCGATGGCCGTGGAGCAGGGGCAGCGGGCAGTGTACTCAGACAGGCTTGTGACCCGCAAGTCAGTGACCTGATGGCATGTGACCGGTGCTTGATGACACTGTGGTGGGGTATGGGGAAGAAAGGGCCAAGGACGTGCTGTGCTGTGAAAACCACTTCGTCCGTAGCTAGATTTCTAGGCATTCAATCATACATTTAAAAAATATATAAGTAGCTCAGGAGAAGAGTGTGTTGGTATAGGGGACAGAGAATTAAGATGAAGCCAAATTCATGTTACTTATTACCTGTGCCCTAACATTTGTAGTTCTTCAGTTTTTATCAACAGTAGAGCACACCTTAGTAAACGTTACACAATGTACATGCTCCTAAAATTACTACAAGGTAAAGTGAAGCATCTGCTGTAATGAAATAATTACCACAGTGACTCAGATCTTATTTCCTTCTAATTGTAATGACGTCAAATGACGGTTAGTGGATCTCCACTCTGGTTCACACAAAGATGGGCACAAGAGACCACTGCTCCCACTAGCAGCCAAAAGGGGACCGGGAGGGTTATAAAATCAGAGCTTTCATGCCTCAGCAGACCCTCCCTGGTGTAAATGAAGTCTCTCCTGTTCTCTCCCTTAGCATTCTCTTCATACCTTCAGAGTGCAGTCACCAGCTCCGTGGGGAGTTGGGAAGGAAAGGAGGACCCTGTAGTGTGTGTTGCTTACGTCATCCAAAAGAGGCAGAAATTTTCTTCTCTTCCCTGATGAAGATAATTATTAACCTCATTTACAAAGCAGCAGTGAGTCAGTGATTACAGAGCAGTCCAGAAATGTTTGCTTGTGTGGGGAAAGTTCCTGTGAACGATGATTTCACGGAAAACCTAACTGCCTGCATCTCCAAAACCAACACAAACCAAAACCCCCACAGCTTCCCTTATGCTTCTACACTGTGATCAAAATTTGCATTTGTATGTCTGATGGACGTGCAGGGGAGACCATGATGTAGTGCCCATGGTATTTGCCTGCAAGGCCCAGAAGATAGCCGGCTCCCGGCCCTCCGCAGAGGCGCCCAGCCCAGCAATGAGAGTGTGGAGACAGGGAACAATACAGGGGCTGCAGAGAGACCAGTTCTGTGGGCCAGGGGCGACCTGGAGGTGGGAGGCAGCAGAGCCGGCAGAGCCGAGGGCCTGTGTGCTAAGGAGCCAGCTCTGCCAAAGATGTGGAGGCAGCAGGCAGAAAGGTGAGCCAGAGAAATGAGCCCAGGGACGGCACAGGGCTCGACATGAACAGAACAGGTGGGATTTAGAAATAAGCCTCCACCTCTCAGACATGGAAACCTCATTGAGACACGGGGCTGGCTGTCTCTGCCAAGATCAAAATGTAGATTGGAATAACAGCAGGGTTGATGGGATTTCGAGAGCATTTGACATATGTATGATATATATTAACATTGTTATATATCACATGTTTAATATGTATCATACTTAATACATATGTTATATATTTGTGTACACATGTGTGTATACATGTGTATGTGTGTGTGTGTGTGTGTGTGTGTTTTTATCAGGGTTCTGTCCTATTACAGGATGTCTGTGCAACTGAGCAGCCTGTAGCGTGGCCTTTCCTCTTCGGATTAGATTTGTTTTGTTTTGCAATCCTATTGCCCACCTTGCATTCCCCATTTCCTTCCAAGTGGCCAGTCGAATGACAGCAGGAGGACCACTGGGCTCCCGCCCTGGTGGGGGGTGGGGCTGCAGGTCTCCAGGAGCCTCAGCTGCTGAGAGCCAGCACATCCTCCCTGCTCCGTGGAACCTGTCGTCAGCGCGTCCTGCGTGAGCATGAGCAATCTAACCTTCACGTGCTGCGACTCGGGACGGCGGCTGCCTGCTGGTTTCCCTTGCATGGGGACCTCACTGCTCTAATGTATATGTACCCATGAGCACCTGCAGGAGATGCTCCGTTGCTTTGGCTGGTAAAGTCCTTCAGTCTCCTTGTTTTCTTGCTGGATTTTCCTATCACCGTTGACTTTATCCTTGAAAATACAAAAAAGGAATACATACACACAGATACACATACAACATGCACAATACATATAAACAGGAACACATGATCCACTTTATCCACAAAGTGGTCAGTTGAAACCTATTAGATGATTCCATATGACTCCAGCAGAATCAGAGATTCCCATTTTTGGGCCCCTTTTGTGTGATTTCCTGAATTCTTACCACCAATTGCTGTGCAAATGTAAAGCTGACTAAAGTTAGATGTTGGGATGGAGGACGGCCAGCTGTCGTTCTAGAAGGGATCACACAGCACACACGACTTGCCTGGAGATCGGGCTGCCCCCTGGTCCTGCAAAGGATGCCCCACTAGGAAGACGCGAAAGACCTCAGGGTGCCTTTGGCCTGAGTCATTATCTCCTCAGGGCACCCCCCCACCCCACCCCCACAGATGAGTTTCTGTGTCTGGCTGGGTCTCAGACATACAGCTCCTTTCAAGTTAATATATTAAAATCTGATTCCAGGTGGCCAAAGGCACTTAGATTTTAGCATATAAATTGTAGCCAATTCTCCATTTCTGTGAGGTGGTGGATATTTATTAAATAACAGGAATGTGGCCCTTGTGCATGGGTCTGTCGGTGCTAGATTTCAGGAGTTTTAATAAGAAAAAAGTTCCAGTGTATCTCAAGTGTTTGAAATGAATATTGGGGAGGCCTTCATGAATTGTGAATTAGGTCTTACTCTCGGGAGAGGCTTCAGTGGGAGGAACATCAGGCATTCGTTCCTCCCTGTAGGCCAAAAGGCTTAGTTTGTGACGGAACACGTGAGCCAGGAGTTACACTTCTCAGCATGTGTGGTCAATTTGACAGTGTTTAAGTGTCCTTCTGTATTTTGTAACCAGACACCTGCTTGACTGTGTTTCTCTAAGCCATCCATTGCTGTGTTCAAGTTTTATACTTTAGTTTTTCTTAGCATGTATCTCATACATTTTTTAAAATCCAACTTCCTTGAGCTGGGTTAATGTTTCCTTCACCTCTCACCCTTGGCTGTTTTGTTACAGCTTGTTCTGTGTGCAGAGGCCTCCCTGAAGCAGAGAACAAACCTGCCCTCTGTCAGGGTCCCAGCGGGGCTTGAGCTGTCTGTCCTCGCGCAGGTGCTGAGAACCTGCAGCTTCCCCTTTGGGGAGGGGTCTGCTCTCTCTGTGCTGGGGTGGTGCAGGGCGGGGAGCGAGGCCCAGCTGGCTGACTAGGGGAAGCAGAGGGAATTGGGCGTGGTCTGGGTTTTGTGGAGCATCCATTGCACCTGGAGAGGATCATCTCCTGAGGACGTAGCAGAGGGACTCGCACAGGGCACTGTCCTCACAGTGCCCAGTGGCCCGTAAGTCTGTGATACCCAACTGCAAGCATGTCCCAAGTGGCCGGGCCTCTCCTGGGCCCCAGCAGTGCTAGAATGAGGCTGTGGTGCAGGTGTCAGGGAGGGTCTGCTGTCTGGCTTGTTGGGTATAGAGCACAAGTACCATGAGAAGGTGGTCTCCGTTTGCTGCCGTGTTAGTCTCCCTTAACTCAGAGGTGGTCTGCCCAGTAGGAATCAGCTGTTCCACAAATGGAAGAGTTGGTCAGTGGCTCCCTTTCTTTATGCGGTGAGAAGCAGCAGTGTATTGTCAGAGGTACGGTGGGCTGATAGGCTGCAAGTTTGACAGTTGTTAGCCCGTGTGCTCTGGCTGTGGCACAGCAGATGTGCGTGTGAAGCATGCATGTGCATATTTGTTTTGCAGGGATGTTTGTGTGCGTGTATATGCATATAAATGCATGTATAGTATGTGTAACAGAAAGGTAGAAATAGAAGTAATAAAACACAAGAGGATGGAAAGATCCGTGCATGACTGCAGCTTCCAAAAGAAAGTATGTTTTTGCCATTGGTAATAATACACTACTGATTTTCAAGGTTTTATTAATAAAGTGATTTGTGCACCATCCTAGAAAGTTCTATCCTTTTCCACAAGGCAATTTCCAGAAGTAAGCCACATAAAAATATTGTTGCAATCTGAAGTAAACATTTCTAAATATAGCCATAGATGAGTTTTCATTGTTTTTCAGAGAGTTTATAAATTTTGTCTTTTGCCTCAAAATGCAGTTTTGTGTGTGTCTGTGCATGTATATCTTCATGTCCTATTGTTGTGACATGCCAGCATGTAGCTGGATGTCATCCATTGTGTGTTTGGATTTGATACCTTTGACAGGAATTGTGGTGGGGACAGGTATGGGAAAATGTATGTGGATTTAACTCATTAAGATGATTTCAGGAGATGATCAAGATCTGCATCAACCTGTTTGGGGCAAAGATGTTCATTGGAACCATTTGCTCATTTTTGTTCATTCTTCCTCTAGACAGGCAGATGCCCACTGTCGAGAAGACCGACCAGGAGCACAGTGGGACCCATGGAACCTGTCCCAGGTCTCTGAGCTGCCTCAGGCCCAGCAAACTCCAGAGGTGCCCCTGGAGGGCCGGGGCCGAGCGGGGACCTTACCTCGCGATTACAGATACTCTGAGGACAAGGCGCCTGCTGAGCTGCGGAGGCTGCCCAGCCTGGGACCACAGGCACCGAGCACCCCTTTGGCCCTGAACACCCGGGGGCAGGACCCACGGCCCGTGAGCCCCACGCTGCTCAGCAAGAGGCCAGCCCCCCGCAGGCCGCCGCCTCCTACGCGGGAGCCAGGGCAGTGCTGGGGCCCGGCTGGCCCTGTACCTGCGGTCACGCACCCGGGTGCCCCCAGCAGGCCCCTCCCTGCACTGGCGTCTGGGACCCTGCAGGGGTGTGCAGACCGACTGTCCCTCTCCCTCAGCCCCTGTGCCTCGGCAGAGCCCAGCAGCATCCAGCCTGTGGATGGTCCGGAGGCTGCGGCCGAGCCCAACGGGCACCATGTAGATGAGCCGGCGGCCTGTCCTAAGCGGGAAACCCTGCTTCCTTCCAAGTTCCAGCCCCTACAGACATCCGCGATGGAGACCTCTCGCTCCCCTTCTCCTCAGTTTGCCCCCCAGAAGCTGACAGACAAACCTCCCCTCCTCATCCAGGATGACAGCCCCACAAGGTACCGCCCTGGATGGTGGCCTTACGCATTTTCCCTTTCGTGAGCTCCCTTCCGGCTGCGGAGGCCTTGGGGCATCTTTCCTGGGTGGATTACGACTGGCTCCTTGCATCAGCTCCACATGTTATATTTTGAGTTGTCGTGGGGACTGACTCTGTAGGAACCCACAGTTCCAGGGGTCAATTGTATTTTTAACCTGTTGGGGGAGCTGTCCTGTCCCCCAGGGAGCCAGGGGGATGGGAAGGAGAAGGCAGACTGTCCCCCATCCTCTTCATCAAGCCCAACATTTATATCTGCATTAGCCACAGGCACCTACAGGCCAGGGCTGGGCTTTCCGGGAGCACCTCCTATCTGTAATTGGAATCAGATCTTACTGAAGCATGAGATGTTCAGGTGAAATCGATGCTTTTCATAACGGCCAGCACTTTCATACTTCCTTCCTAGGTCTCTGTGTGAGAAAGCTAAGCTGGCATATACGTTTTATAAAAGCAGAAGTAAAACCAATCACTTTGCACAGCGCTGTTACCAGAATTCCACATGGCCTTGTCTGTTGCACCCATCCAGGTGTCAATAAATGTCTCTGGGCAGGAACTGGCCAGTCAAGGGTGCTGGCTGGTTACTGTTTTTCCCTTTGCCCCGAGTGCTTTTGAAGGAGAGAGGAATGAGAGAAGTGGAGAATTTCCATCTCATTGTCTAGAGCGGTGGTTCTCAACCTGGGAGAGGGCAATTGGGGCACCCAGGGGAATTTTGGCCATGTCAGTTTGGGGTGTCTCAGCTGGAGAAGGTGTTGCCTTCGTAGCTGGAGGTGCAGACCGGCTCTGCTGCTCAGCATCCCACAGTGCACAGGACGGCCCTGCACCAAGGAATTACCTGGCCCCAAATGTCAGTATTATCTAGTATAATAGCCACCAGTCTCATGCGGGTGAATAATGTGATGAAAATCAGAACAAATCCATTGCTCGGTTGCTCCACATGTGGCTAGTGACAGCCACTGAGGATGGCACAGCAGACCGTGGCTGTTTGTCTCCCATCACAGAAAGTTCTGTTGAACCTCCCTTCCTAGAGGTTCAAACTTTTTTTCGCTTCCAGATTAAGTCAGTTGAGAGAGGACATTACTGGTGCTGTGGAGCATCGCCACCACAGCTTCATCTGCGGGCCAGGCCTGGGCTTGTATCATTCACAACACGGATATCACAGAACTGTCCTTTCATTCAGGACCACTTGTACGTTCTGAAAGGAGGGAAAAGCAGTAACGTGGTCTGTGTGGTGGACCACGTATATGGTTCTATTGCAAGTATGCTGGTCCCTCCATTCTTGGGCTAGTGTGAGCACAGCGGGCTCCGTGGAGAAAGCGGCATGTGCTTGCATGGTGCTTATGACCTATGGCTCTAGAAGGTGGGTGGTAGTTTTCATTTTTTTCTTGCCTGTAGCCAGTGTTGATTTCTCTGTCTTTTCTGTGAGTTTGAGAGGGATTCTGAAAACCAGTGACAGTTCTTACTGACCATGCTAAGGGGGCCCCTCTTCAGGTGTGCACATTGTTCACTGTTTTCATTCAGCCCATCACTTGGGACAGCAAGGGTTGTGTCTGAACCATGTCTGTCCCCCGCTGTGTAAGCCCCCATAGAGGGCCTAAATTCCAGTCGGTGCTCTCTCTCTTTCCTGGGAGCGCAGTAGTCAGATAGTGGCCATGCCACCTACATAGGTTGCTGCCAAGAAAGTTGCTTATAATGTACTGAATTAGTGTCCCCCAGGGCGTGTGGTATCAGTCAGTCCTGGTATGACAGCATGGAATCCCAATGGCGGATGAGACAGACAAGACCAGTGCTCAGTGAAAGTTCCAGCCCAGCTCTGTACCCACAACCTGCTGCTACCAACAGGTTACCAAGTAGAATGTGCCCAGCATGGGGCCTCCAAACCTGCCTCATTGGGCAGTGCTCAGAGACGGTCTTCTTGCCCTGATGTCTGCTGACTAGCTTCCTCGTCCCCTTCTTGCCATTTGGCTCTCAGAGCCACACTCTGGCTGCTTAGGGGCTGGCCAGGGTGCAAAGCCGCTGCATGTCCATGTGCCTACCGTCCCGAGTATGGTAGGCAGTCCCTAGCAGCCCTGTGTGCCAGGTGCTGGCCTGCAGCAGGGGTGCAGAGTAAAAGTGCGACCTCCCCACCATGAGGGGCCTTTTGGGGTGCCCAGTCATTCCAAACAAGAACACGTCAACTCCTGTCCTAAAGCTAGGACACATTTAAACCTCTGAGGTGGCTTTGTCTGTTTTTCCTACAGAATGGCCAGCAGCAACCTGAGTCCCTGGCAGTGACAGAGATGTGTTCCTTCTCATAGGTGGTGTCAGTTTTCCTGGAGGCCTGTTCCTGTTTGGGCATGTGGGACCTGGAGAGCCAGGACTGTTTGGGGCTGTTTGGACAGTATCACCACCGTCAGGTTGAAGTTCTGTGTTTGAGACCCTCCTGTGTAGCTTGTGTGGTTTATCAGGCCCTGAAGGGGCATACGGACTGAAGGGCTTCCTGGGCAGTGGGAGTGTGAGCAGAGCTGGTTGGACTGTTCCATGCTGGGGGCTGGGATCTGCCAGCCCTCAGGTCACTTACCTGGAGGGAGCCATGCCATGAGAGGTAGGTCAGGGCTTGGCACACCTCCTCGGTCCCTTGGGTCCTGCCTTTTGGGTAGGAATTGATGAGATCTGGTAGGTAAGGTCTGCCTAATCCACTGTGTTTTGTGTATTGTGATGTAAAAGTTCAGCAAAGTTTGTTAATGGGGAAGTCTGGATGCTTTTCAAGAGGAGGAACCATTTGTGTTTAGCAAGATCAGAAGAGACACTTGGGAAACCTGTGTCAACCTGCGGAGGATTTGGTCCCCTCTATTTGTTTCTTCCATCTTCCTTCCCTGTCAGTCATTTCTACAGGCACCAGTGGGTGTGCGCCAGCCCTGCCAGGCAGAAGACCCAAGTACCAGCCGACTGAAGCCATCAGTAGGCGATCAGGGTTTCTGAGCATGCAAAGGACTGGAGAGGGTCTTGTGTGCTTTTTTTCTGCTTGGATAAGATGCTGGAGCTTCTCCTTCTGAAGTTTAGTGTATTGGGATGGTATTGTTGGGGGAGCTTTGTGTAATCTCCTCAGTCCTTATCTCTGCTGTGACAAAGAATTGAAGGGCAGGAGCAGAGTAAAAGTTTTATTTAAAGTTACTTAATAAGAGAAAAAGTACAGCAGGCAACCTCAGTGAGAAGCGCCCTGAAAGGTTGGAGAGAGAAAGTTTAAGATTAAAAGGTTACACACTCAGAAAGTGTGGGCAACCTCAGAGAGAGGAGTGCCCCAGAAGGTTGGGGGTTCCCACTTTTAAGGATTCTTCAGGAATGTGACTAAGACCTGGGCATACAGACCTGTTAAGTGGTCTTTGAATACTTAGAATTAACTAACGCAAGGAACTTCCTGCTCTGATTTCTCAGGAGTCTTGGCTCAGAGCATATCAAACAGACTGCCTGCCCAGCCCCCAAGATGGGCTGAGTTATTGTCTGTTTGCTACAGAGTAAATTAAGAATTTTAACTTCTTAACTTCCTGGGTATTAAAATACAATCTTCATAGCATGTATAATGTGGCGGGGAGGGGCACGGGGAGGGCTGTACAACACAGAGAAGACAAGTAGTGATTCTACAGCATCTTACTACGCTGATGAACAGTGACTGATGGGGTTTGTGGGGGGGACTTGGTGAAGGGGAGAGCCTAGTAAACATAATATTCTTCATGTAATTGTAGGTTAATGATACAAAAAATATATATATAGTCTTCAAGATGGAATCCTTCCTGCCTTTTACTATGTTGTTTACGGCTGGGCCTGCATGCTAAATTAATTGCCTAGGTTGCAAACTACTTGATAAGGGCCGGAAGGAGAAAAAAAACAGCGTATAGATAAAGGTAAAAAATAAGCTGGGCCTGCATGATTAACACAGTAAAGACATGGGCTATGCTGAGGCACCCTCCTTTATCTGGGGAATATTCAAACATTCCAGGCCAAGTTGCTCCTGGCTTTTTGAGCTTTAATTGATTAACTCTGGGTCTTTTTAGTGGACTTGCCTGGCCTTTTTCTCTTTCCGCCCTGCTCATATCTATTTTCCTGCCTAACAGTATATTCTACAGAGTTTTTGGATTTATGCACGGAGAAGACATTCTGGGAACTGCGCATGAATACCTGTAGGTCAAACACTGGTTTCTACTGGAGAGAAATAAATACAAAATGATTTCATGTTAGCCTATACACTGTCCATTTAGGTAGGAACAGGGAAGGAGCCGTCTTGTGTTCCAAGCCACCAGTTAAAGGGCAAAAAGGGTTTAATTCAAAGCACTGAGCGTCCCTTGTGCTACATAATATTAGGGGCATTAGGATCACCTCACAGATGGAGACTTAGGCCTACTAGGGAGGAAAACAAGTTGGGAGTTTTGATTGTACTATTTGGACTTGGAGATTCCTTCCCTTTTGACACCAGCAGGTGGCACTCTTTCTCCAATGTCCTTTTGATATACTTGAGACAGATTTTTATCCTGGGCACCCTTGTCCACAGGGCCACTGGGTGTCCAGCTTGGTGTAGCCTAGGGCCCCAGCCAGCATTCAGATTGTCCTGGACCAAGTCCTATCACACTGACCAGGCTGGTTCGTTCTATGTGGGACCCCAGCCCCCCTGTACAACTTTCACCCAGAGACTTTTTTTAAAAAAAGAAGTATATCCTTAGGGAGTCACCTAAAATAACACGTAGGCAGTTGTGTCCCAGGTTTGGTGCCATATCCTTATCTCATTGGTATGAAAAGCCATGGGAAGGGTGGCTTGAAGTGTGGGGTGTAGGTGGCAGGTGGAGGGTGACACCCTGTGTGCACAGGCATCTGAGGAAGCTTCAGACTGGGGCCAGGGTGGCACTCAGCATGCACTGAGCACATAGCCACCATTTACAGAAGCCCTCCTGCGGCCCCAGGAACACATAGGCACCCACGGGCGTGCCCCAGCCCTGCCCAGAGACACTGGCCTTGATTCTGTGGCCAGGTTCCCTACACTGCAAAGTGGCACTGTGCGGCGTGTGGAGGTCTGCTCTGTCCTTGACATAAGGGCATGGTCTAACATCTCTTTTTATCAGTCAGCCCATCCCCAGGCTGCTGCTGCAGGCATGCGGGTGGCTCCGCAAATGGAAAGACACCTGGATGCCGAGGGTCAGGCGAGCAAGTTTGGGGTAGCAGGGAACTTCTGGACCACCTCTCCTCACCCTGGGATGTGTGATAGGCCCCTTCTGGGGGACGGTGGTGGGTTTTGGTCCGGGTACCCCATCCCTTAGCAGGGAGGTGTGGAGACTGGCTGATGTCCACCCTGGGATGGAGTCTGTGCCCGGTGCACTGTACACCTCCAGCAGACCGACGGCTCTTCTCTTTCCAGAATCGAGCGGGTGATCGGTAGCAACACCACAGTGAAGATGGTGCCCATCAAGATCGTGCATGCGGAGAGCCAGCCCGAAAAGGAGAGCCGCCAGGGCCTGGCCTGCACTGCTGAGCCACCCGCACTGCCTAGCGGGCTGGACAAAGACCCCATCAAGTCGCTCAATGCACCGGAGCAGGCCTACTCGCGGTTCTGCCTGTACAGCCGCCGGGACGCCGGGCCCGAGTCCCCGCTCCCCACCAAGGACAGCCCGGTCTCACCGCCCAGGCTCGGCTCCGCAAAGGCCAGAGAGAGTCTGGCCGAAGACCTCAAGTCAGAGGAGCTGGCCCGGGAAATTGTGGGGAAGGATAAGTCGCTGGCCGATATCCTGGACCCCGGGGGGAAGATCAAAACCACCATGGATCTGATGGAGGGGATCTTCCCCAAAGATGAGCACCTCCTGGAAGAGGCTCAGCAGCGGAGGAAGCTGCTCCCCAAAGTCCCCTCTCCTAGAGCTGCAGAGGACACGTGAGTAGCCACCGCCCTCAGCCGGAGCTCAGCCAGGCAGGCTTCTGCCAGCCTCTCTCAGGCTTAAAAGGCCCAGGGTATGGATGCTTATCTACTGTCCTGATTGCTTCTTGGGGCAGGTTTTCATAAGGGTTATCCTGTACTTAGCACATTTGGCTTTCCTGCGACACCCCCGAACAGGAAGCTGAGGCATTCAGGGCCCCGTCCTGGGGATGATGGCCTCAGGCCTGGCAAAGACGGCAGACATGTAGTTCCCTATGTGCTCCACAGTGATGCCTGAAGGTTCCTTCCTCATAAGGGCAGTTTTTAGCCAGCCCACTGTGTCCCCCAGGGGTAGGTTGGCAGTACCCAGGTCCACATTTGGTGGTCACAACTGGGAGGGGGTCTCCTGGCACCTAGCAGGTGGCGCCCAGGGCTGCTGCTGAGTGCCCTGCAGAGCACAGGACGGCCCCATCACAGAGAACGATCCAGCCCCAAAGGTTGCTAGTGCCGAGGTTGAGAAGCCTGTCTTAAGAGGAAGGAATGCTTAGACAACAGAGTATGTGTGTTTGTTAAAGTGGCCTTTTGCTGGTGGTTAGAGTGCAGAGCAAATGAATTCGCTTTACTTTGTTTGTAAATAGCACTTTTCAGCCTCTCATTCCAACATTTGCCTGCAAAGGCATGGGTGGACCCCATCAGCATCACTAAGTGACAGTAGGCTGGGGTGCAATGGGGTGCAGCTGAGAAGGACAAATGGGTGAGGCAGACCACAGCCAGAGGTTGCAAACGTGGCTGCAGGCAGAAAGGTGCATCGGAGGCCTCCTGACCCCACTTACACATGGTGGCACGCGTCGTCCTTGTGGACCTCAGGCACCTGATGAAAACCACATCTGTGCTCTTTCATCCCAGGCAGAGATTTTTAAACATCCCAGCTTATTTGAGTTTTCCCCCTTGTTAGAAATGACATGCTGTAGGTTTGGTGAGTACCTTTTGGAGAGGTTTCTTCATTTCTAAGCTGGTCGCCCACTTTCTGCTCCCCTTCTGCTATCTCACCTCCCTGGCTGGGGTCCTTCCATCAGTACCTCTGCTGGCTTGTCACAGCCCAAGTTTCAGGATGGAGAGGTTCATCTGTGTGTATAGTCACAGCCAATTAAAGCTCTGATCTTTTTACCCAGGAAAGAGGAGCCAAGCACACCGGCAGCCATGTCCCTGGCCACCAGCTCCACCTACTACAGCACGTCGGCCCCCAAGGCGGAGCTGCTGATCAAGATGAAGGACCTGCGGGAGCAGCAGGAGGCTGAGGAGGACTCAGGGACTGACCTGGACCACAACCTGTCAGTGAAGAAGGTAGGGAAGCCGGCACGGCTGGTGACCACGGGCTCTTGGCGGGGATGGGAGGGGCATGAGTGGCTCATCTCTCCCCCGTGCACCGTGTGTCTGGGAGCATTTGTGCTCAGCTTCTCTGCAGGACTGTGGTGTGTGGGGCAATAGTGTTAAGCCTTTTGTGGGTATGTCTTCTATTTTGAAATTGGGCCTTTCTACCAATGTCTCCTTGCCATCTTTTTATAATGAGATCCAATGTCAGATTAATTGAATGGGCATCATTGTCTTTAAATTCAACACCCCAGTTTAAAATCCAGGGGACTTCACTTGCGTGACCTTCAGCAAATCACACGTCCTATTTACAAAGGTCCTGGGGTTGGGAGCCTTGTGGCATGTCAGGGAAGCAGTAGAGAGCAGTGGCTGGAGCTGTGTGGACATGGAAGGGAGGATTAGAGATGAGGTCAGGGACTACATAGTGGGTGGCCAAGGCCATGGTAGGGACAGAATTACTGCTGTCAGGGCCAGTGCCACTATTGCTGTATTAGCTTTAAGTCTTCGTGGCATGACCCCAGGCCAGGCCCGTAATGTCTAAGGATTACCTGATTTGTATAGGAAGGGTTTAGCATTAAGGGATAAGGGAATTGCCAAAGAAAGTCAATTTCAGAAGATAGCATGTGCTGTTTATTTCTGGGATCTTGACCTTGCCTTAGATAGTGCCAGGAAAAGACACGGAGGGAACGAGCATTTTGTGAATATTTTCTATGCACTTAGCACTTGGAAAGGACTTTCATAAAAATTACTGTGTTTTTATTTATTTTATTTTGGTATCATTAATCTACAGTTACATGAGCAATATTATGGTTACTAGACTCCCCCCATCATCAAGTCCCCCCCACATACCCCATTACAGTCACTGACCATCAGCGTAGTAAGATGCTGAAGAATCACTACTTGTTGTCTCTGTGTTGTCCAGCCCTCCCCGTGCCCCTGCTCTGCTAATCATAATGCCCCTTTTCCCCCTTGTCCCTCCCTTCCCACCCATCCTCCCCAGTCCCTTTCCCTTTGGTAACTGTTAGTCCACTCTTGGGTTCTGTGAGTCTGCTGATGTCTTGGTCCTTTCGTTTTTTTCTTTGTTCTTAATACTCCGTGGATGAGTGAAATCATTGATACTTGTCTTTCTCCACCTGGCTTATTTCACTGAGCATAATACCCTCTAGCTCCATCTGTGTTGTTGCAAATGGTAGGATCTGTTTTCTTCTTATGGCTGAATAATATTCCATTGTGTATATGTACCACATCTTCTTTATCCATTCATCTACTGATGGACACTTAGGTTGCTTCCATTTCTTGGCTATTGTAAATAGTGCTGCAATAAACATAGGGGTGCATCTGTCTTTTTCAAACTGGGCTGCTGCATTCTTAGGGTAAATTCCTAGAAGTGGAATTCCTGGGTCAAATGATATTTCTATTTTGAACTTTTTGAGGAACTTCCATACTGCTTTCCACAATGGTTGAACTAATTTACATTCCCATCAGCAGTGTAGGAGGGTTCCCCTTTCTCCACAACCTCGCCAACATTTGTTGTTGTTTGTCTTTTGGATGTTGGCCATCCTTACTGGTGTGAGGTGATATCTCATTGTGGTTTTAATTTGCATTTCCCTGATGATTAGCGATGTGGAGCATCTTTTCATGTGTCTGTTGGCCATCTGAATATCTTCTTTGGAGAAGTGGTTGTTCAGATCCTCTGCCCGTTTTCTAATTGGATCATTTGCTTTTTGTTTGTTGAGGTGCATGAGCTCTTTATGTATTTCAGATGTCAACCCTTTATTGGATATGTCATTTATGAATGTATTCTCCCATACTGTGGGATGCCTTTTTGTTCTATTGATGGTGTCCTTTGCTGTACAGAAGCTTTTCAGCTTGATATAGTCCTACTTGTTCATTTTTGCTTTTGTTTCCCTTGCCCGGGGAGATATGTTCATGAAGAAGTTGCTCATGTTTATGTCCAAGAGAGTTGCCTATTTTTTCCTAAGAGTCTTATGGTTTCATGACTTACATTCAGGTCTTTGATCCATTTAATTTACTTTTGTGTATATATATTTTTTTAAATAAGATCTTTGCAAAGGATTATGTTGAGATCAGCTTATCTCATTAGTGATTAAAAAGCACCATTGGTTGATTTTAAATATAAGACATCTTCCAGAAGAAATACTGTGACCCATGTATAGAAGAAAATTACTTTGAATTTAGGAAGCAATGCGTTTTGGGTTCAAGGAATGAAAAAGGGAAATGAAAACAAAGAGCCTTGGTCCCCGGACTTTCAGAGGCCCCTGTATACCATCAGCTTTATTTTGACTGCATTTGTCATTTAATAAGAAAATAATAAGAAATGTTTTCAGCTAGTCTCATAAAACTAGGAAGAAATGTGCAGTTTGGACAGTTTTAATTCTGTCCACATGCTAGATGGAGAGAACTGCATTCTTTACAACACAGCTTTGTTGCAGGATAATGTGAATTCGGGAAGCAGCGTACCCTTGGTCCTTAGGGTGTTTTCTTTGGGAGGGGTGGGATGCCAGGACACTGCCTAACCTTCTACAGCCACCTCAGGGTTGAGATAAGGCACTGCACGCTTGCCTCCTGCCAGCCCCCCCAAGCCCCCCCCACTCCGGTGCACTGCTCCATGACCAAGTCCTCTAGCCGCCTGACGTTCTTGGTTTAACAAGCGGATGTTGGGAAGTTTCACCATAAGCAGCCAGTGGCATAGATCACAGTTCTCTGCAGTGTTGGTAATCCTGCTTTTCTGCTCGATTTGACAGAAAGGCAGCTACTGCACTGTCTTTTCTGCCCTTTTTTCCAGGACCTACAGCTGTCCTGTGTCTTGTAGTTTGGGGAGGTGTGCACAGGGGAGAGGAGGAAGTGAGCACGGGGTAGGTGCTGTGGGTGTGCTGCTCAGTGGTGAAGCAGCAAAGCCCCTAAGGCCACATGCACCAGATGTTCCCAGAGGAACCTCGGCTGTCGTGATCAGAGCGTCCCTGGGTGGTCATAGAGCCGAGAGCCCAATCGGGAGACCCACTTGTCTTAGGAGAAGGCTGAGGACAGGTATGAGAAGGAAGCCCCCAAGCAGGGGTGCAGTGAGGGGGTTCGGGCGGCTGGGAGGCCGTACACTGGGAAGGCTGATGTGTTTTTGTATGTGGGGCAGCCCGGACAGACTGCTCAGCAAGTGCCCGGCTGAGTTACCGGGGACTCCATCAGGAGAGTTGTAGATGGCCAATTGGTTGAAGTCTGGAATCTTGGGGTTATGTTTTTTCCTGGGAAAGAAGGCGTCAGCATCAGGCCCAGGGCGAAAAGAGCTCATCTCTCCCATGGAATAGGCCAAAAGGGTGGGGGTGTGGGGGAGGTCTATGGCAGAACTGGGACCTGTTGCAACGGAGACTTGGGAGCCAACAGTGTGCCTACAGTGAGACCTCGGGTTGCCCACTGCCACCTCGTGCTCATATCTGAGGCCTCCCAGAGTGCCACATGCTACATAATATAAGCCAACGGGCTTGTGGCTGCCCAGTCTGAAGAGGGTGGTCCTGATAGCCATTGATTTGCCGGCTGCCCCAGGCCAGGTCTGTCTCAAAGTCTTTGAATGTCAAAGTTGGTGCTTCATGTAATGGCCCTTTAAGGAAGAAGGGAAAGAGTTTCTAATGAAAATTTACACAAGGCATATGAAGGAATCAATAAAAGACTGTGAGCTCCTTCCAGAACTCCCAGTTTCAAGTTGGCCCAGCCGATGCTGTAGGTTTTGAAAACATGTTTTCATGCATTGGCATGAAATCTTCCTTGGCTAAAAGATATCCTAATGGCTATGCTAATGGCTGAAAGATACTGAAAGGGAACAATTACCAGTAACCTGGCGAGGGGTCCTCATCCATCCACAGTCAGCTGAATTGTTGGTAGGATTCGTTCAGGTTAGGATTGGATCAGGCAAGAATTTGGCAAATTCACCATCCCTATCATCTATTTTGTGCTTTTCCTTCAAGCAATGAACATCTAAACATACGGCCACCTTCTCAGCCATGGGAGTCAGAACTGGTTTAAACAATCTGTCCAGTCAGGTAGTTAGCAGATACACAGATCACATACACGAGCATCAACACACACAGATTCCCACACTCTGAGGAAAAACCTCAAAGAACTCTAGATGCATACGGTTTGAAATTACTAAGGGAAAGAAAAATGACTTGACATCCTGAGCATCTAGAACCTGACCTAGAAAAGCCCAAAGCCATTTATAGACTCATGTAGTCTGTCTTAGGAGAAAAGCCATGCCATTCATCAATGGGGGGGACTGTCCTTTAGGTCTGCTTGCTGTTTCAATCCGCTGGCTGTCCAGACGTGATAGACCCAAGGGAGATTGACCCATGAGGGGAAAGTGCCCTAATCAGAGTACATACCCTTCAGATCTATCTGCTAGATAGAGATTCTCTTGAAAGGCCTGTCCTGAGAAGAGAATCACGTGTGGTGCAGTGACAGAAGCGTAGGGCACTGCCTTATTGGTTCAGTGTCTTTCCTACACTCGTTTGACTTTCCCACCAAAATAGCCATTGGGGTGGGGCAGTGCACTTGAACATCATTTGTGAAATCATGGCTGCGTGTCATCCCACGCTTCCAGGATTGCTGAGAACTGCTGGGTATAGGGGCACCTGGCGAATGCCACGCATTGGCTCAGCCCTTTGTGGGTGGCATCTCTGTCATCTTCATGTCAGTCCTGCATACAGGTAGGGCTCCCGTCCCCTGGTGAGCCAAGGACCCTGTCCACAATGAGGAGAGGGCTTAGTGAGGCTTTGCCTCTCCCAGTGTGTGCTGCTCTCCGCTAGGCTCTGTGGGCTCCATGGGGAGTCAGAGGTCGTCAGCTGGCTGAGGAGAAGGGCAGGGGCATGGCCGATGGTCACAGGTTCTGTTTACATAAAGTGGCCTTGCTTATTGTAACAGGGTAAGCTTCCGAAACCCTACTTGGACCTGAACGTTCACATTAATTGTGCCATCAGCCATCATCGTTTTGGTTTGTAGGCCTGGGCACATTTCAGTGTCCTGCCTCTTCCCGTGTGCTGGCCCACGACGCGCTAGCCTCATAAATCCAGAGGACCACTGTGGGGACAGACGTGGGGCTGGGTAGTTGGGACTAGTGGCAGCAAGAGTTCTCAAGAGGACAGTGGGGGCATGGCCTTCCTCCTGACCTTCGGCTCTTCCTAATTCTTGGCATGGGGGCCCCTAACTCACTGAATGTGCTGTGGGCAGGTTTAGTGGCACAAAGATGTCTGTGATCATAAGGTGGTTTTCCTGGGACAAGGCTCAGCTGTTGGTCTCCTGAGCAGTCCCTCTAATAGAATCTGTCACAAAAATGTGCTTCCTTGCCACTCAAATCAGAACATATGATGCCACTCAGGACAGTGACTGATTTAAAGGTTTTACCCATTTCATTTGTTATTTCTGCTCTTCAAAAATTAATCATTTAAAGGCCTGGCAGAAGGGGAGAAGTGGGGAGTTGGTGTTTAATGGTCAGAGTTTCAGGTGGGGAGGATGAAAGAGTTCTGGACATGGATGGTGGTGATGGTTGCACAGTGTGAAAATACCAAATGCCACAGAATGGTACCCTTAAAAAGGAGTAAAACTGTAAATTTTGTGTACATCTATTTTACCGCATTAAAAATTATTTATGTGCATGTTGGTCAAGCTGAAAGCACTAAGTTATTCTACAAGGCTGTTTTCATTTAAGTTCATTGATTTCCTTCATTTGTCTTGTTTTAATTGCTATTTCTATATAGAGAATCCAGTGCTGCTATAGAGTTAAGTAGTGGACTTGAGACTCAATAACTTGTATACATGTAAGGCTTTAAATTGGCAGCTTCCAAAGTATGAAGCACAAAGTATGCAGCAAGCCCCAAGAATTGTGTAAAGATATAGGGTTGACCTGAGGTTTAGCGTGATTGCCCTGGATTGTCTGATGGGACTCGAAAAGGATGAGAATACGTTTATTTCTACATTAAATGCCGAGGGATTAAGCAAGAGTCATCATCCTACCCCTAGATTTATATATGCTCTGTTATTTGACGATGCAAAACTCACTGGTTCAGCTGAATTCCACACAGATCCCTTATGTGGTGAGGCGAAGGCCCCGGGTTGGGGCGCCCCTAATGAGTGTGTGCGTGTCGCCCCGTGTCCCTGCAGCAGGAGCTCATCGAGAGCATCAGTCGCAAGCTGCGAGTGCTCCAGGACGCCCGGGAGAGCCTGCTGGAGGACATCCGGGCCAACAGCGTGCTCGGGGACGAGGTGGAGGCCATCGCCAAAGATGTCTGCAAACCCAATGAGTTTGACAAGTTCCGGATGTTCATCGGGGACCTGGACAAAGTGGTGAACCTCCTGCTGTCGCTCTCTGGCCGCCTGGCCCGGGTGGAAAACGCCCTCAATAATTTGGACGACGGCACCTCTCCTGGTGATCGGGTAAATACAAAGGCATTTGACCTGTATGTCGGGGGCCTCTGGGCAGGTTTTCCTTGGGGCGTGAGCACTTTAAAGCCTCACGTGGTTCCTACACAGCCTGTTGTCCTTGTAGTGCAAGGTGCTGTCAAATGTCAGGGGTGCTCTCCCTCCGTTTCCTTGTCTTTGAGGGGAAAGGTGCTGCTGAGATACAGTGAGTTGAGAGCCACTTGCCTCATCGGACTGCAGGGCTGCTGATTCAGGAAGAACCGGTGACTCTCTGTGACCTCTTCTCGTGAATTCCCATTGATCATCCCTGATAGGTGTCTCATCCTAGAAAATAGTCCTTTACTCTTAACCATGTGTAAGTGGGGCTCATCCCCTCCTTAACAAATTATAAGTTCTCACTGACAGTGGTATTTGATTATTATTGTGGCTGCTTTTATTTAGCAGGAGTGCGGAGAGCTGTCCAGAAAGAGCCAAAGACTTGTCTGACTTCTCTCCCTCCCCAGAGATGTGCAACTTTTGACACTTCTTAGTAGGCCTGGGTTTGTTTTTTCACATAAAAATATGGAAAATGGTATCCATCTTACTGGCTTTCCTTTGTAGGTCAAATATCAGTACAAATATTGGTTCTTGCTATATAATAGGCCTTCAGAATGATCATCTTTATTAATAAGACAAGTTCTCTAAAAGGGGAGCAAAAAAGGCACCCCTCCAGCTTATTCCAGGTGAGAGTGGTTTTAGATTATGTAGAAAGATCTAGAGCATGGCTTTGAGGCTGCTGTTCTTAACCAAGTCATTAGCAACTATCATTAAACATACTATATAAAGGTTTAAAAAGTAACTGGGGTTTTAGACCCTGATCCCTTTGGGTTATTCTCATATTCCATTTTGTCATCTTTATCAGAGATTTCTTTGTACATATTTGAAACACTCTCAAGCACTGACTTAAAGGAAAAAAGAGTTTTGTCTTGGCAACTCATCTGTTATCCGTCTTTCCCTCCCACTGTGTGGATTCAACACAGACTTATTTGGACTTCCAGGGAGGTGGGAGGAATCCCATTAGGGTCCATGCACATGGTCCTCCTGGATTCTAGGCTCTGTGGCCCTTACTGGATCCCTACGGGCCCGTTTTAGAGATGAGGGGCAGACGGATGGGCTGTTCCCGCCCTCGGCTGTGCATAGTGGATACAGCTGCACCTTCCCAGACCCGACAGGCATGCACTGCCATGGCCAGGACCAGCACCATGGCCTGGTCTCCACGCAGCCAGCGCTGGATGAGAATCTGGCTCAGGAAGCTGAGGCGTGAGGAGGCTAAGGTTTTCAGAGAGAGACATGCTCCCAGGTTGAAAGACAAGGAGTCCGGTTTTAGAAGGCTTCCTCCATCTGCCCAAATAGAAAATGAACACATGGGCAGATGCAAACCATGTGGTCCTCCCCACGGCCTCTGCAGCTTCACGTCACTAGTGACTCCCACTGAGTGTAAGGCCTGAACTGCCTTTCTTGAATCAGTTGCTGTCTGTTTCTCTTTCAGTTGGAAATCAGTCTGCTTTGCCTTGCCTCTTTCCATCAAAATACAGTGCCTCTTTTCTTCCATAAGCTCCTGAAGTTCAAGGTTTCCCCCTGACGTCAGGAGGGTTGGTGCTGTCAGGGGCACATGTGGGAGCTGCACACTAAGAGCACTTTCTGTTTACAGCCACTGTGTGATAACAGGAGCAGCTCGTCTTAAGTGAGGTCTCCCTGTGTGTCCACACTTTGCCCAGCACAGCCGCATCCCCGATGCTCACAGTGTGGCCGTCGGTAATCGTGGCTAAGTTGCAGAGTGGTGGGCGAACAGCCCTTGCCCTGGTGCCTGAGTGAAAATCAAACTCTCACAGCGGAAGTGAACCCCTGGGTACCCCCCACAGCTGACACTGGAAGACATTTAATATGTTCACCTCTTCCTTAGTCCTCATTAACGTTGGAGATTGTGGGCAGGGCAGGTGTGTGGGCCGTAGGCCGTGTGACTGTGAGTGCCACCTCATCTGTGTCCCCCAGAGTGGGGCCCTTGTAAGGGGCTAGGGAGCCTACCCCACAGCCCTGCACCTTGCTCCTCCCTCCCCCTGCTCGCTCATGCATCCTCTTCTGCAGGTATGCTCACAGGCTGCTCCTTCAGCAGGAGGGTTTAGAAATTGTGCCCTGGGATTCTTTAGAACCTTTAAAGTCACACTGTTGTCACAGGTGGGCCTCAGACACGTAGGATCCCTACGTGCTTTGTACCTTTGAGTTTCTGCCAATTCTGTAGTTTGTAGTTGCTCCATTACGCTGACCACCCTTCTTGTCCAGCCTAATCCTGTTAGCCATTCAAGGCTGGTGGGAGGAGCTGGGTGCGGGAGAGGCTGGTGAGCCCTTACAGAAGGCCGGCGGCTGGAGCCCGCTGCAGTCCAAGGTGCCTTCTGCCCATATCCCGAGGATTTCTGTGCCGATCCATATGATCTCAGCTCCCTAACTGGGATGTCAGGGTCTCCTTTGGACCAGCCCCCAAGGCACCAGCACTTTTGAGATGTTGGCCCACACCCATGCTTTAGCCCTGGTCCTCAATGGGCTTGTTTCTCTCTGCAGCAATCTCTGCTTGAGAAGCAGCGCGTCCTCATCCAGCAGCACGAGGACGCCAAGGAACTCAAGGAGAACCTAGACCGCCGGGAGCGCGTCGTGTTTGACATCCTGGCCAGCTATCTCAGTGAGGAGAGCCTGGCGGACTATGAGCATTTCGTGAAAATGAAGTCAGCCCTCATCATCGAGCAGCGGGAGCTGGAAGATAAAATACACTTGGGCGAAGAGCAGCTGAAGTGCTTGTTCGACAGCCTTCATCCCACAGGAGGCAAATAAGAGGGGCCCTCCCTGGTGGAGGATGCAAACAGGGCTTTTGAGCTCCGTTCCCCATGATGCATGTGAAAGCTGCAGCCTGTGTTGCTGTCCTGTGGGGAGACACCTGCCATTGCAAAATGGCTGTTAGCAAAGCAATAGATTCTTATTGGGGGGGATGATTTATTTAATTTTATCATTTCCCTTTTGAACGCTGAGCAGAACGTCTCACCATTAGCCATTTCACTTTGCAAGTGGCCACACTGGCATGATGCTCGGCTGAGGGGATACCCTGACCGTACAGACAGTGGGCTCCAGTCCCAGAGTGCATGCAAGTGGTCACTCAGTGGGCGCTCTGCCAGGCCTCACGTCTCCACATGCTGCACCAGCTGTTCGGGAAGCAGCTGAATGTTCCAAGTGCATGAGGGGGAAATCCTGGTGCATATCTTCACTTGTGGTTCCTCCAAGGCGTGGGCTTCCATGTTTTATCCGTCTGTCCAGTGGTATTGAGCATTTGTGTGTATAATGTAACGGTGTCCTCTGACCCAGTGAAAACCACAATGATGATGATGATGAATTATTAACATTTTGGAAAGGTGAATAGTTCCCAAGTGGTTATAAACCAACTTTGAAATGAATAACCTTCGTATTGGGTGCCCTTGTTCTAAAATTACCACTTAAAACAATAGTGTGCATGCTTTCAGACACACTCATGCACCAAGCAGATAGCTTGAGTACTTCTCACCTGACATCATGGTTCACATCAATGTTTCCTGCAATGTGAAATTACTTGGTTAAAAGTGTGTCTAGTAGTAATGTGCTTGCTAAGTATTTGTTTCAACTGCCTTTTTGTTAAATCAGTCTTTCCCTAGAACATTGATCTTGTATGCACATGATCATTAATGATAATTGGCTACTTTCCACTCTTTGCCTCCTTAAATCTATTACTATGCCACGAGGATCACATTCCATTGACTGTCAAACCCTTCCTCTGGTTTTTCAGGGGTCCCATGGACTATATAAAACGTGATCTTTTTCTGCCACGGAATTACAGACTCTGTGCACATTTTATGGGTTGAAATCACAAGATGATAAAGAGAGTCAAACTCTGACAACTCAACAGAGAACAGATAGCCCAATTAAAATGTGGGCCAAAGACTTAAATAGACACTTCACCAAAGAGGATGTATGCATGGCAAATAGGCACACGAAAAGATCTTCAGTGGCTGGATTATAACTTATTTTTATCTGAATTGTCGTAGAACTGGTGTATATCTTCCCAAATACTCATCTGATTAAATGCATGGTTAATGGCAGGCGAACCCCTCGGGTGATTTCGTGTTGAGGTGGTCTGTGGACAGTTGACCAAGAGATCACTGAAATCCTCATCGCCCCTTGTTCCCACAAGACTTTTCCCACAGGTGGTGAGACATCCCTTTGTCAGGAGTGACTGCCGCCTTACCAGAACACCTGTGGTCAAAGTGTCTCAAAGGACAGTCATCTGCACCTCATGAGCCAGAGTGGGCGAGCTAGACCTCTGAGCCGCGGTGCTGGGTCGACGCACTCCGTTGTGGGGTGCAAACTGGCGGCTGCAGGAAGGGGCAGGCAGTAAGCACTCTGGCAACCTGCCCACGCCCAGGGCACGACACTTCCATTCCAACTAAGATGTTTCTGGCTTGAAGAACTCCTGTTCTGGCAGTGAAGTGTCCTCCTTTCCACCTGGTGTAGCCATGTGCTGTCGAAAGCCAGTCCCATCAGAAAAGATGAAGCTGGCTTTCCGCCAACCTCCATCTTTCTCGCTCAGGGAGACAGCCGCAGTGTTGCAGTGTCCTTTCAACTTAGACAATGCTTTTCTCTGTGATTCTGTCCCCTCGTATGCAGTACTATGGTCATCTTGATAATGTAGGTAAAATGTGAATAATGGAATGTGTGTGTCTGTGTCCAGCCTTTGGGCATCTTTTGAGGACTGTCATGCACAGCAGTACATGCTGCTGTTTTATGCTTTTGGCAAAGCACACGTAATCACACAGTCCTGTCCATCCCCCATTTGCCTCTTCAGTGTCCAGTTAGCAGGGACCCACAGATTGCAGTGAGTCTGTGTACAGAACTGTGTATATAGCCATGTGGTTGCACAGACAGTTTGGTGCTAATGTTTTGCTCTTAGCGTTGTGAGGTGATGGCGGATCACTCACCCTCTGTCGTAGCTCAGCTGTGGAATGCTCTGTGTAGTGAGATGTCAGGCTTATGGACTGTGGCTTTTGTCCTGCACTTCGCCGTGGAAAATGTGTACAGATCTCATGTTCCACCATCACCACTTACCTCTCAACATATCCCGCTTGACTCTAACAAAATAAAAGGTGTCTGAGTGAATGGAGCATGTCTTTGATTTCCCTACATCTCTCTGTAAAGAATTGGTATAGCCTCACGATATGTAAGAGTCCTGAGCCACTGATGAGTTGTGGAGTGGGTTATGTGTGTGTGACTCTTTACACTAGTCTAGTTGAGGCCATATTTGCTGTCAGGAAAAAGAGCCAGAGATGCTGCACAGCAAAGCTGTGTAACACCAAAACCTCAACAGTACCCAGTGAGAAGTGTTGCTTTAGCTCAAGAATTTATACATGCCTCCGTGTGACCTCATCTGCCTCCCGGGACCAGCAGGCTGCCCTGGGGGTGTCAGTGGCAGATGCTCAGGAGCAAGTCCAATCAAAGGTGCTTTCACTCATGTGGGCGTGTCCCAGCTGTAGCCTTCCATGGCCAACCCCAGTGCCTGGGCTCAACCCAAAGCCCGGGTGTGGGATATGCTCTGCCTTTTTAACAGAAGGAATCATAAGGTCATGTGGCGGGGGGGTGGGCCCAGGGAGGGATGAAAAATTGGGGCCAGGTTGATGGACCGCATTTCCACACCAGTGTCCATGGGCAATGGAGCATCATGAAAGCCCAGTTCCCGGAGCAAAGCCCTCTCACTGGCTAGTCGTATGGCAGTGGGCAGGCACCACTCTGAGCCTGTTTCCTGCCTTGTCATCGGAGAAGGGCTATTGTGAGGTCAAGTGGGCTAGTGTACTTTAATGTGCTTTGAACCGGGGCCTAGTTCAGGAAAATACTACATAAATATGGCTCCTCTGTCTTCCTTCTAGTCTGGACCTGGTGGATACGCCTTTGCTGCCTCAGAACACATCTGTCCAAGCCACCCAGGAGCTGGAAATTTCTTTTAGTTGGTAGGATTGGAAAGGCATCTGTTCTGGAGCAGGTTTGTGGGGCTTGGAGGTTACACAGTTGAGAGGGGATTCTTTTTAACAAAAATTCCAAATTAGAGTATTTGGAATGGGAAAGTCACGCAAATTTTAAAAGGCGTGCTCACACTGATGAACTGCCTTGGGGACAGTTTTGTCTGCTCTTTAGCGTGGTCCCATCAGACTTCAGGATGAGTGGCGTTGGGGACACAAACGCAGTCTAGGATGTGGGGACATAGCAGACATTGGCTCTGTCTTCAGGCCTGTGTGTTGTAGCATCGCAGGTCTGTATCCTACAAGTACAGGCATTCTGAGCGTGTCTTTGCTGCATTTCCCTTTAAAGAAAAGCAGTACACTGTGTGTATATCCTTATATGTGCTCTGCCGGGAGTCACAGCAGCCCCAGGCTGTGTCATCCCTACTCTGCTGTCTCTGCACCAGATCCCACCCGAGCCAGAGGGAGAGAGACGGAAGGCCTCACTGAATGCAATGACAGTATCTTTCTTTGGCAAATTTCACCAAAGCGTAGGGCGGTGTAAGCATGTCACCGGCCCCACCAGAACCTTGGAAGGGCTACGCCATAGAAGGCCTTGAAGCTGAAGCTTTGAGCTCCATGGTCAGCCTGTTTCTAGCTTAACCCCAAATGGGATGCCTACTGAAGAGCATTATCCAGCCAAGCAAGGCCCACATTGAGAGGCGCCAGCCCCCATTGGTAGGCGTTCTCCATGCAGTTCACAGCACCTGGATGGAGACAAGGATGCCGTACACGGTAGTCTGAGGACACAACCAAAAATACATGAGGCACACCCAAAAAGGGTTTTTTGATAGGTGCTAAGGTGAAGATAAAAAGGTTTCAAAATTGGAGGAAATAAAGGCAAGTTGGCAACAATGCAACACGGGATCCTAGATTGAGTCCTGGGTGGACATAGGACAGTAGTTGGTCCGCTGATGGAATTCAAATAAGGTCTTGAGGTCATACTATTGGGTTACTGATTTCTTGATTCTGATGATGGTACTGTGCTGTTTCCATCTGGGGGAGGGATATGTGGACATAACGCTATTTGCAACTTTTTTGTAAGTCTGAAATAATCAGAATGAAAAAGTTAAAATACATTTTTCAGTTTTGAAAGGTTTTCCTTTTTCCTCATCCAAAGACCTTTTTCTCGCATCTCGTAACTCTAGTGTTGGATCTGATATCTTGAAAGGCACTTGAAAGTGGTGTTCCGTGCTTTATAACCAAGGATACAGTGTGTGACCCAGCTTTGCATAATGTGGGTCACGCTTGCATGCATCTCTAACGTCAACACCTGTAATGCTTTACTGAGGTCGGGCGTTGCTGGAAGACACTAGAAGCCCGCATGGTGTGTGCCATGCTTAGTGCTGGTCTCAAGCCTGGACAAGGTGGGCGACTGACTGACACGTGACATTGAATGGGGGGATGAGTGGAGTAGCTGGGGTGTGCAGCGGGGACAGCCGAGCAGGGGTATAAGGTGCATTACGATTAGCACACATAATGTAGTCGGGCGGGGGGGCACAGGGAAGGCAGTATAGCACGGAGAAGACAAGTAGTGACTCTATAGCATCTTACTATGCTGATGGACAGTGACTGTAATGGGGTATGTGGTGGGGACTTGATAATGGGGGGAATCTAGTAACCACAGTGTTGTTCATGTAAGTATATATTAATGATACAAAAAAAAGATTAAAAAAAAACTAAACACATGACTGAAAAAATAAGACGTTAATAGGTTAAGAATTAGACACACTCAGGTTCACTTCAGAGCCACCCACTGAGGATCACATTGAGAGAAAGAGCTAACATGGGATGTCCTCCTCAGAGAATATTTACTTAAGTCTTTGAGAACATAGTGTTTGAAATTTTCCCCTCCCTGTGACAGAAGTCTATCGGCAGTTTAAAATAATGTGTTTCAAAATCATTTCCTGTGGGACCAAGTGGCCTGGGTGTTCCGGAGAAAGTGAGACGGACCCTTTGCCCTAAGGGCTTTGTATTCTGATTGGTGGGCAAGAGTTTGTGAAATTTTAATAGCATTCTTCAGTAAATATCCTTTCTCTGCTGACCATTATCTGCATAATGTCCTTAGCTCTCAAGCACTGGGAACCAGGAAGAATTCACTCCCTTTTCCATTTAGTTAAAGTCCTGGCTTCCTTCCCACAGCTTTGAAAGGAGTGGGATGGGGCATCTAGGGCCCATTCAGACCTTCAGGGCCAGCCTTGGACCAAGGCCCACATATACTCCATGCAACTGCAAGAAATGCTTGTGAAATGGTTCCTAGGGAAACATCACGTGTCCCCCAATGAAATCTTACCCTACAGTGGGTCTAATTTAGGCCAACCAGACATACAGAGGCTTGGAAACGGGATTTGTGTAATTTAAGAGGATCCAACCATTAAATACTTGGAGAATGGAAGCTCTTAGAAGACATGCTTGTGAGGAACCCGCGTCTCTCACAGAAGTGAGGTGGGGACCCTGCCAGAGGGCCGCGTGCCTGCCACCTGGTGGTTGCAGGGGGAAGTGACTGAATTGGGTTGGGCCAAGGAAAGTGCCCCCTTGACCGTCTTCTGCCTTTATAGTCTCCACGGAGAGCAAGACGATGGTCATCCGGTCAGACACAAAGGTGAGGGTGTCACGATGTCAGGGTCTGCTTTGGGGGAGCAAGGTAAAAGGAGAAAAAAAGGAGTTTCAAGACCTGAAGGAACTTTTGGAAAGATTCTTTAAGGGAATCACTTAATTTCCTTACAGGAATAAGCAAAGATAATGTGTCCTGTGTGTTCCCTGTTGGTGCTCCACAGGTGCTGTAAGGCCTGGTGGCCTTTCTTGTATTCTTTCCCCTCACTGATCCTTCTAAGGTAACCAGGAGCCAGAAAGGTGTCATACAGCCTTTGGGGTGGAGGCAAAAAGAGAAAAATTCCAGAGTGCTGGGTGTTGAGACCTGGAAGGAAGGAACCACACGTGACGGTCCTACCAGAAGTAGGGAGGCAGGTGGCACAGGGCCATGCTGGCATCTCCAGCTTGGACTCTGAGGAGACCCCAGGGGGTGACGCTGTTCTGAGTTCAGTGTTTGCTGGTTCATGAATTGCTGTTACCTTTCTCTTCCCGCCAGCCCCACAGCAGCTCTGGGGCGATGCCAGGGTGACGTGGGAAACACGGTGTTCCTGTGGTGGAGAGAGGACACAGGGTGAGTGACTCCCATTTTCCACATGAGAGATCAAAATATAGAGATCCAAAGCGGCTTCTCCCTGGTTGGAGGTGGAGCTGGGACAAAACTGCAGGTGCTCTGGCACGTCCTCTGAGCGGCTGGAGCAAGCAGTAGTTGTTACCTACCAGAGAGCTGTGTGCTCCCCACGCTCGTTGTTCACCTGGCTGAGCTGTCTTGCTGGAGACTTCACACATCACCCCGATGTCCTCTGCAGGTGCATCTTAGGACACATGCTCTTCCTCTACAAGACAAGGGCGAGACCTCTGGAGCCTAGAAGATTTCATCTGTCTGCCTCTCCTAGAGTTGTTTAGCCTCTCCTAGGAAGAAGGCTGCCCTACGGAGAAAGTCAGGGCAGCAGCAACAGCGTGTTTGGTTTCTCTGTGAATGTGAAAAGCCTGTGTAGGCTCCTGACTGGCCGCACTTCTGACAGAAACCTAATTCCGCAAAGCATAGCCTTCATATACTGCTTGAGCATAAACATCCAATTAAAGAGAAAACATACACCTTATATTTTAGTAGCAAAAATTTCTCCCCTTAGCAGCGGTGAACTAAGATAACCCAAATGTTCATCACCGGGAGAATGCATACAAAATGGGGTATGCCCCCCCCATAGAATGGAATGGTGCACAACGATAAAAGTGACTGATGTGATGGTGCAGTTAGCCATACAGGTGACTCTCAGTGACACTACTCTGAGCAAAAGAAGCCAGACACCAGAGATACACACCGCGTGTTTCCATTTATATGAAGTAATAACATGCAAAAATCATGTGTGGGGGAGAAATGAGAAGAGTGGTTTGGTCTAGGCCCTTAAAAAAAGAAATTTCTAATCTAAAAAGACTTCTCAACTCTTCAAGGGGTTACCGGCTGAGACGCTGTTTTTCCCAGGATTGTGTCTTGGAGGCTGTGAAGAATGATGCCAGCATCTAGGAGTACGCAGCAAGCAAAGCTCTCTTAATGAGTAAAAAAGCAAGCCCCTCCTACGTAGGAGGGGCTCCATGGGAGGATGACACTAGGCTGTGGAGTCTGGGGTTTATATTGGCTCCTGAGAGGAGGAAGTCCCACCCCCCCGGACCAAATAGAGAACTGAATTTAGGACATCCACATCTCGCTCCTGATTGGCTGTGAGTACAATTCTTCATTTGTATAGGGCATAACCAATCAGAGCTGAGGTCTATCTACCTAAGCCTACTTTTGAATGACTGAGTTAGAGTGGAGCTTTTTGAAATTTACAAGGGCCCTGAACAACTACCTGTCCGTGGTCCCTCTATCACCCGCTTCAAAGGGTTGTTTGACTTCCCTGGTCCAGCGTCTCTTGTCACGTGTCCACTACCCAGAATTCACCAGCTATTCCTGGTAGTCATGGCAACGTAAGAATGTTTTATTTCCTTTAGAACCTGGCAGTTACCACTCTGAACTTCAGAGAAATACAACTCTTGCCTTTTTTGTTGTGTTTTAGGGGCACCATTGTAATTTATCTTTTTTGCCGTCGTTAAGGAGAACTTTGAAACTTCTTGGGTCACTTTACTCATTCATCTTCCCTGTGAAAAGCTGAAAGGTCACTAGATGAGTCTGCAAAGGAGGTAAGCCCCAGCCGCCGATGACGATCATCCCATGTTGGGCATGTCTGCTAGCCTCTGTGCTATTGGCTTTTCTGAGGCCATTTGAGTATTAATTTGAATGTCAATTCCAACTCACAATACTGGGTAATGTCATCTCCACCATCACATCAAACTGAGTGAGTGTGTGAAAGCAAATGGCTAGCCTGTGCCTTCGAAATGGAAGAGATGGCATCGCCAAACCTCAGTGTGTCATTCCTTCAACAAGTTGAGCACATCTTTGCTCTTTATAAAATACCTGCTTTTTTGTGATAAAATACATATAACATAAAATTTACCTTTGTAACCATTTTTAGGTATTCAGTTCAGCAGCATTAACAACATTCACGCTGCTGGGCAACCATCAAAACCATCCATCTCCAGACCTTCATGGTCTCCCCAAACTGAAAATCTGTCCTCACTAACTCCCCATTCCTCCCTCCCCAGCCACTGGCACCCACCATCTACTTTCTTCATCTAAGAATTTGACTACGCTAGGTGCCTCAGACCAGTGGAGTCCTACAGTATCTGTCCTTTTCTGACTGGCTTATGTCACTGAACACAATGTTCTCAAGGTTTATCCGTGTTGAAGCAGGTGTCAGAATGTCCTTCCTTTTTCAGGGGCTGAATAACATTCTACTGTGTGTATGGACCACATTTTGTTTTCCCTCTCATCTGTGAGTGGGTGCTTGGGTTGCTCCCACCATTTGGCTATTGTACATAACACTGCTATGAACATAAGGGTGCAGATATCTGTTTGACTCCCGCCTTTGTCTTCCTTTGGGTGTATATACCCAGAAGTGGAATTGCTGCACCACATGGTAATTCTGTTTAATATTTTAAGGAATCGCTGTACCATTTTCTACAGCAACTGCATTTCACATCCCCTCTAGCAATGCACAATGATTCCAATTTCTCCACATTTCTGACTACCCTTGTAAGTTTTTAAATAAAAGCATTAGTTTTTAAAAGGTTTTTAGTCACTGAGATAAAGGAGACAAGGAAGCAGGTATTTATACTTTCTCATATGCTATTGCCCTGCAAGTTCACTTTCATTTTTTTATGGGACATGGAGAATGCCAGAAATAGCTGTAGTTGTAACTCACATGGGCTTTGTCTATTTTTTTTTTGGTATCATTAATCTACAATTACATGAGGAAAATTATGGGGTTTTTTTTGGTATCATTAATCTACAATTACATGAGGAACATTATGGGGTTTTTTTTGGTATCATTAATCTACAGTTACATGAGGAACATTATGGTTACTAGACTCCCCCCTTCACCAAGACCCCCCACATACCCCTTCACAGTCACTGTCCATCTGCGTAGTAAGATGCTGTAAAATCACTACTTGTCTTCTCTGTGTTGCACATCCCTCCCCGTGCCTTCCCCCCACATTATACATGCTAATCGTAATGCCCCTTTTCTTCCCACACCCCCCTTATCCGTCCCTTTCCCTTTGGTAACTGTTAGTCCATTCTTGGGTTCTGTGATTCTGCTGCTGTTTTGTTCCTTCAGTTTTTTCTTTGTTCTTATACTCCACATATAAGTGAAATCATTTGGTACTTGTGTTTCTCTGCCTGGCTTATTTCACTGAGCATAATACCCTCTAGCTCCATCCATGTTCTTGCAAATGGTAGGACTTGTTTTCTTCTTATGGCTGAAT